CGGGAAAAGATTATCTATCTTTTCATAAGAAAAAAAAAATTTTTTTTTTCCGAAAAATTTTCAACGCTGAGAACAAGTTTAGGAGAAGGCCTCTCGACCCTGAAAGGGTTAAGAAGTAGTTTTCAATGTTTTATTTGGAGACATACTAGTGAAATGACTTAAGACTAGAAATTGCCTGAAACAGGTGTCCACTTAACAAAAATGGCTGATTTTCAGCAGTTTTCTTGTTCCTTATGTAACAGTGTCACATAACAAAACTTTCTCAACTGCTTTAAATACTATTAATTAGTTCAAACTATGAAAGGTAGTTTTTTATTTTATCATTTATTGAGACTACTCACTTAAATTTTGTTTTAGCCTCTCTCTGCTTATAAAACATGAAGACTTTTTTTACTATAGTTTTATGATTGGCTTTTGTGTGAATCATACTATATAGTGTTTTGCTGTTAGATTAATTGCAAGTTAAGCAAGTGTGTCATTGGTATACAACACTGACAAGAAGAATTAGACGCATGTGAAACATCTGGGTATCTTTACTTATAGACATTTCGCCATCCTGTGGCTTTATCAATACAGTACAAGGACATAATAATGTCAAGGCTGTAGAAATATATACAGAAGACAATGGCAGACAAGGTAATTATGTCCCTCATGCAAATGATTACATGTTTCTATTTTACACTCACTTGGCAGGACGGTAGTACCTCCCTGGGCAGGTGCTGTCTACCAACCTACTACCTAGGAATAATACATTACATGGACATAATCTGAAGACTGTAGAAATATATATAGAAGACAATGGAACATAAGGTAATCAGTCACTCAGACTAGAAGCAGGTGATGAACATCTCAGTATAACCTGCTTCTAGTCTGAGCGACTGATTACCTTATGTTCCATTGTCTTCTGTATATATTTCTACAGTCTTCAGATTATGTCCATATAATGTATTGATCATAGGTAGTAGGTTGGTAGACAGCAACTGCCCAGGGAGGTACTACCGTCCTGCCAAGTGAGTGTAAAATAGAAACATGCAATCGTTTTGCATGATGTTAGAATTGCTAGTGTCTTCTTTCTGTCTCATAAACATGCAAGGTTTCAGGTACATCTTGCTACCTCTACTTACACTTAGATCACACTGCACATGCATAGACAAGCATATATATACACACACACCCCTCTGGGTTTTCTTCTATTTCCTTACTGGGTCTTGTTTATTTCCTCTTATCTCCATGAGGAACTGGAATAGAATTTTTCCGTCATGAGCCATGCGTGTCATACAAGGCAACTAAAATGCTGGGAGCAAGGGGCTAGTAACCGCTTCTCCTGTATAAATTACTAAATTTAAAAAGAGAAACTTTCGTTTTTCTTTTTTGGTCACCCTGCCTTGGTGGGATATGGCTGGTTTGTTGGAAAAAAATTGCATTGATAAAACTACTGGATGGCAAAATATCTACAAGTGAAGATTTCCAGATGTTGCACATGTGTCTAATTTTTCAAGTCAAGTTTTGTTGTAAAAGATCTCCATATAAGACTATACTGTAATGTAGCTTAATCTGTGAATAAGCTGACTGAAGTATTTTGATAATTTTCTCTTATGCATGAAATCCAGTATTCAAGTTAATTATACAGCATATTTTTTAGAGCCCTGGATAGCGAGATGTATCGGACATAAAGGCCTATACAGTACTGTACAGATCTTATGGCATGCCACTTCAAAAATTCCTGTCTCACTGTGGTAATTTTAACTGTTCCTTCCTTAGAGGCTGCACTGACCATCTTGGGCCTCTCACACCCTATCACCTATTTTACACTGTGCCTTTATGGAAAATCTTTTGGTGTTTGCTTGCCAGTCATCTGTACCTTTATCATCTATACCCACACTGCACTATTTGAAGAATGTATAAGTATTGCTTTGTTCACACGTATAATCCTAGGTATTTGTGTCCACATTTTCAGTAGCATGGTAAAGGAAAAGTTACCACTTCTTCAGGTGGATTGTGTCTTTATGTTTGTTGTATTTAATTTTAACAGTGTGAGTGTTGTATGTAGTGATTGCATGTTGTGTTGTGTGTAGTGATTGTGTTGTGTTTTGTATAGTGATTGTGTGTTGTGTTGTGTTGTCATTATGTGTTGTATGTAGTGATTGTGTGTTGTGTGTAGTGAGGTTGTGTTGTATAGTGAGGGTGTGTTGTATGTAGTGATTGTGTGTTGTAAAGGTGTGTTGTGTGCAGCAAAGGTGTGTTGTGTAGTGAGGTTGTATTGTGTAGTGAGGATGTGTTGTGTGTAATAAGGTTGTGTTGCATGTAGTGAGGGTGTGTCGTGTGTAGTATGTGTAGTTAGGATGTGTTGTTTTCAATGACTATGTACTCACCTATTATTGGTTGCAGAGTCAATTCTCAGCTCCTTAAAACAGTATGTAGCCTGCCTCCACCACTCTTCTTTTTTTATTATTTATTTAAAAATGGAAGTAATTATGCTTAATCCATGGAAGGAATGAGTTGATTCAGTTCCTTGGATCAAGAGCCCTTTTGGAAGAACTTACCCATATGCATCTTCTGGTGGAGCTCCTCTAGGGTAGGCTTTGTGAGCTCTCATACCTCAGGTGGAGGGGCTTAATTTCCATCAAACCACATTTTAAATTTTGGCCATCATTTTCCACCCTTGTCATGTTTCAGAGACTAGAGTCTCATGCTTGTGTATTGGACACATGACTCATTCATGGATGCCATGTGAAAAAACCAGCACCTCACTCTTAGGACTCAGGTTGCTTTGTTCACTCAACGTATCTTAATAGATTATCTTACCTATCAGAGTGCATGCAGGATCCACTTCTGACGTCTAAACCACCTCTTCTCACTCACTTTCACTAACTGCCTTTCTGAAAGTCTTATCTTTGACACAGGGTCTCTCTTTGGTTTTTTAAATGAAACTAACCTGTTACACCAACTTTGATTTCAATTTTACTTGCACAAACCTCAAACTTTACACACCCCTACCTCTCACTCATTCTTAACCTTTGTACATTTTTCCCTGCAGTATTGTATGACCTTTACATGTTTAGTGCTTAATTTGATTATAACTAATAATCCACTTCCTCAAGATCATTCCACTTCCTGATATCCCTGTGGCTCATCTGTATCTTTAACTTCCAGCTGTTCCCATTTCTCACCTCTTAAATAGCTTGTCACTATCTACCTTATTAGTTCCCTCCAGTATTTTGTATGTTATCATATCATTCCTGATTCTTCTGTCCTCTAATGTCTTTAGATTAAATTCTGTTAGCCTTTCCTTGTAGCTCATGCCCCATAGCTCGGGAACAAACCTTGTTGCATACTTCTGCAATTTCTCCAGTTTCTTCCTCCAGTGCGGGTTCCGTACTGGTGCTATATACTTTAAGATGGGCCTAACATATTGCATAAAGGGGTCCAGAATGACTTTGTTAAGATTCCTGAAGGATATTCCTAGACTTGTCAGATGAGCATTGGCTGACATGGTTATTTGGTTGATGCAAATCTTTGGCAGTATACTAGGCACTGGTCTCACCCCTAGGTCTTTCACTTTGAGTGAAGTCTGCAGCATTGACCCCTTAGTCTATATTCCATTTCTGGTGATCTTGCTCTTTCTACAATCTTCATAACTCTACATTTACTGGGTTTGAATTCAAGCACCCTCTTCTCTGATTAATCTTACAATTTGTCTAGATCCATTTGAAACCTTTCCTTGTCCTCTTCTGTTTTTATTCGCATCAGTTTTATATCATTTGCAAACAGACATATTTGAATCAGTACAGGACCTAATATTGATCCTTGCAGAGCCCTGCTAGTTACTCATCCACACTCTGACATCTCTTTTCTGACAATCACTCTTTGCTTCCTTTCCCTAAGATACACTTAGATCCACTGGAGTACATTCCCTGTTATTCCTGCCTGCACTTCAAGTTTTTGGCCCAGCTTATGTTGTCTGTTGTGTGTATTGAGAGTGTGTTGTGTGTACTGAGAGTGTTGTGTGTATTGAGAGTGTGTTGTGTGTATTGAGAGTGTGTTGTGTGTATTGAGTGTGTTGTGTGTAATGAGGGTGTGTTATGTGTAGTAAGATGAGGTAAAATGTACATTGAAGTCAACAAGCCATGTGTTTCAAGATAGTAGTTCCTGTATTTCAATATGTATGTCTCAAGATGGTAGTTCCTGTATTTACAAGATGTATAACTCAAGATAATAATTTTTTACTTGCAAGATGTATGTCTCGGGGTAGTAGTTCCTGTACTTGGCAAGATGTATGTCTCAAGATTGTAGTTTCTGTACTTGCAAGATCTATGTCTCAAGAGTAGAATTCTGCACCACTCATAATTGAGGTTCTGTATATGGGTATATTATTATTATTATAATCAAAAAGAAGCGCTAAGCCACAAGGGCTATACAGCTGTATATGGGTATATACAGTCAGGAAGAGGAAGCTCTGAACTGTTAAGGTCTCTAGCCCAGTACTGCGCAATACTGTATTTTCAGTCTAAATTTATTCCAAGTTACTGAAGTGGAACGTATAATTATTTTTCTGTTAATATTCGATATAACCAGATATATGAGTGAGGCATGTACTCTACAAGCTACTAATTTATGTGTTGAAAAAGCTGTTTTATGCAGAATTTATTTTGATGTAGGCAATAGTGATGTATTTATTTACCTTTGGTCATAAAAACCACAATCTCTGGCTATTGGTTGCTGCTACTTTTCTCCTTGTAGAGCACATAAGTGCCACACCACCTTGCTTATGACCTTACATTAACTCATAAATTTCTTCTATTATTAGTCTTATTACTTTATATAACTTTTAAGCATTTCATTTACTCTATTTTCAGTAATGTAATTTATTTTTTTACAAATATTTTAAATATGTTGCATAACAAATGTATATCTGCATAACAGAGTTTGCATATTAAATTCCTAAATAACTCCTGTAGCATGTTGATGTTGCAATTTGGCTATAAACATACTGCATTCAGGTGTCCCAGTAAAACCAGAGCGCAAGGCAAGTCAACCAGCCGTTGTGGAGAGTGTAGAGGAGGTCATGTCATCAGCAGCATCTCCTCTCATGCACATGGCACCACCAACTCTTAAAATTGAAGACTCAGAACTCAGACAAAGGTAAAGTTTAGAGCTTATTGAAACTGTAGATCTTATATAAGTTCTTCACTGATAGCAAATCTTCACTATCTTAATTGTCTCTAAAGGAGTTTATTGGCTAGAATATGAGGATGAATAGGTAGACATATTCATGAGATTTAGATTGTGGTCTATGGCAATTTCTGTAGTTTAAGCCTAGTGTCATTGTTAAGGTCAGAGATTTGCCAAGTAGGACCTGATTATGTCTTTAGTAACTCGTGTCATTTCCAATTAACATTTACCAGTTGTTTTATGGAGCTTGCTAACCTAGATATTAATACCATTACAATCCTTTTTTCTATGCAGTTTAAAAGAATCCAATAGATTATCTCTATTGCATTCTATAAAATTTTATTTAAGCGCAGCACTGAGAGAAAATTCAGTTGACATATTCATTTTTGGTTAATCAGTCATCAGTTAATATACAGACTTGAATTTTTACTTGCCACTTTCATTATTATTATTATAATCAAAAAGAAGTGTTAAACCACAAGGGCTACCACTTTCATTGTTAGATGTTAATGGGTTGAAAATTGAAGCCTACTCATCAAAATTCTTGGTGGCAGTGTTTAACATTATACCATGGTATTCCACCTACATTTAGATCTACCTATATGTTTCTCTCTCTCTCTCTTTTCCCTCCCTCCCCTCCCTCGATCCTACCTCCCTCCCTCTATCCTTTTCTCTCCTCTCTCTCCTACCTTCCCTTTCTCTCTTTTTTTTTTTTTACACAGGGTTTGACAAGGTTAGGTTAAGGATCCCTAGCTTTATTGACAAGCTATTTACAGGTTAATGATTCCTAACTTTATTGACAAGCTTAGAGCTGTTACCTACATCAGCTCATTTGAAAGCATTTTTATTGTTATGAGACATACAAGTAGGGAACAGGATGAAGTTGGAGCCAACTGTGGGCCAGCATTTTCATTTGATCAACTGACTTTATCTCGTTGACATAATGCTGCACGAATGTGTTCCGTACTCGAGTCATCCTGGGGATAAATGGTCTTAGATGAAGTGATGTTCTGGAGAAGGGTACAGCCAGAGTGAAGTTGCTGCTTTCTGCCCATCTTGTGGTATAGAAGCTTGCTTCATGCTGTCCTTGAAGTGGATCTAAGTGTGGTACTTTGACAATATTGGCCTTGTACATAACAGTAAGGCCACCCACATCCCTCCTATGTTGAAGGCTCTGCTGAAATGACAGATCTATCTAGGATTGGTTCAGGCAAGAGATGAGACGCTTGTTTTGTTCTCTACTCTGTCAAGCAGTTGCAGATGAGATGGGGGGCAGGCAAACCAAGAAAGTGGAGCATACTCAAGGTTTGAGTGTACTTGTGCCTCATACAGAATCTTGCAACCCCTCTGTCAAGCAGATGCGAGATACGGCGAAGTGCTGTAAGCTTCCTGGCTGCCTTGTTTGCAAGATTTACAACATGGTTCTTCATGGTCAGATTTCACCCAAAGGATATCAACTTCTTCCCTAGGTGCCAACACCCTCCCATTCATCCTTATTACTGCACTGGCATTACCATCATGGTGCCTAGAGACCATCATTTGTGTTTTCTCAGGTGTAGATGTTACTTGCCATCTATTTCCCCAAGCTGATATAGCTCTTAGCTGGTGATTGATGTAGCTTAGAGCAGCTGGCATTTCTTCTCTTGGATAAGTGAATGTCAGTGTACAGGCATCTGCATATGCATGGGATTCTGGGATGAGATGAAGGTCATTGAAGTAGACATCCCATAACAATCGTCCCAGCACGCTTCCTTGTGGAACACTTGCCCCAATAGGATGTCTTGCTGATTCTGTTCCATTGAGAACTACCCTTAGAGATCTACCATGAAGGTAGTCACTGAGGAGACAAAGTGTAGAGCCTGCAATTCCCAGAGCTTGCAGTTTTGCTAAGAGGCCCTAGTGCCACACCCGGTCGAAAGCACCAGCAATGTCCAGTGCTACCACGCAGCTGACTTTGGATTCATCCAGTGACTGGTGCCACTTAGTGGAGAGGTTCATCAACAGATCAGCAGCAGAGTAACCTTTCCTGAAGCCATATTGACAGTCACAAAGTAGTGAGTGGTAGTCAAAAAAACTCTGACATTGTCTTGAGATTATTGTCTCAAGGATCTTGCCAGTGATTGACAGTAGTGACACTGGTCTGTAGTTGCTGATTTCTGCTCTGCTCTTCTTTTTGTGAACAGGGACTACATTTGCCTCTTTCCACAGAGAAGGTCACTTACACTGTAATAGGCAGTGCTGAAAGATGCGAGTTAGAGGTGCTGCTAGCTGGTCTGCACATTTTCTCAGCAATTTTGGGCTCAACTTGTCTGGGCCCAAAGCCTTTTCTTGGTCTAGCGATTTAAGAAGGAAATGCACCTCCTCCTGCCTTATTGTCACCACTGACAGTTTTGACACAGTTCTTGCAGCTAGCCAAGGAGGGTCCCTTGCTGGATCAGGAACTAGCAGTTTGGTAGCAAAGTGTTCGGCAAAGAGGTCCGCTTTCTCTTGACTACTAATAGAGGTGGTCCCATTCTGTCGATTTAGAGGTGGAATGAGTTCATAAGGCAGATAACCTTGTTTGTCCTTGACAAGGGACCACCAGGTTTTGGAGCCTAGACTCGACCTGATTCTAGCTTTCTTTTTGTGTCCACCTCCCATTTAGCAATGGCCCACTTTTGAATGTTACCCATATGCCTACAGGCTTGCCTGTGCTTGTCTGTCTGTCTGTCTCTCTGTCTCTGTCTCTCTCTCTCTAGCAGTTATCTGTATCATATATTTAATAATAATTGTCACTACACTAACAATGAGAGATTTACAAACTTGTTAAAACATCTTTTTGTTATTGTAATTTCAATACACTATTTACAAATCTCATTATGAAATTTTCCAGAACAAATGCAGCTGGCATCCATGGGATAGGACGTATAGAGTTAACCGTCAAGTATGGACCTCGCAATAATCTGGTTGTCGTCGTCCACCAGATTACGTATGTAAAGTTGTGCGTTTTCTAGGGAACTACCAAATTAACTTGCACAAATTCTGTTGTTTTCAGATATTCTGAATTCATGACAACAGCCTTTTGTGAGTAATAAACTTAAATGCTGTTTGATAATTCAGTGAAGTAGATTTTTTATGTAAATATGTAATATTAATAATAATGCTACAGAAAATAATGTGTGGTTGTTAAGATTTTAAGATACCTAACAATTTATTTTTATGATAAATAACAATTTGATGATTTTGCTCAGTGCCACTGTACACTCTGCTACATACTGTGTTATCTAGAACTAGATTAAAGAACAGTGTTAAGGGAATTAATAATAAAATATGGTTGAAACACAGATATTCATTGTGGAAAGAAATGGTATAAATTACTGACATGTCGGTAATAAGATAGCTGCAGCATAATTCAATCTTATATTTGACATTTCACTCACAAAGTGGGTAACAATACACAAGTTTACATACAGCTTTAAATGTGTGTGAAAGATGAATTTTTTTTTTTCTGGTTATTTGGACCTGGATGACAAATAGAAAATTTAAACTAAGCGAGAGTAAGGCAGATTTTCATTGCCTTGGGAATTCTTCTCAGAGTATAGACTGGAAAGTTTTCTGCTTCAGATTGTTTTACTGTAAGTTGGGATTAGTTAGAGATGTGGGTGTCTACCTGGATTCTTCATTATCATTTGTTGGACATGTCAACCAAATTGTTAAGTCTTACAGTTTTCATATTCCTAATTTCCATGCAGTTCACACTCTTCCAACCAGTTCACAGTCTTCCATTCAGTTCACACTCTTCCATCCAGTTGTTACTCTTCCATCCAGTTGTCACTCTTCCATCCAGTTGTCACTCTTCCATCCAGTTCACACTCTTCTATCCAGTTGTCACTCTTCCATCCAGTTGTCACTTCCATCCAGTTCACACTCTTCCATCCAGTTCACTCTGAGTGTGAACTGGATGGAAGTGGATGGCATTCTCCCATTCCTTGATGTTCTTTGCAAATCTGACCATGAATCACATTTTGAAGTCTAATGTAAACCCACCAATTCTGCTCCACTTCCACTCTCACCATGACACCAGAACTAAATGTAACATTGTTATAGGCTTTTTCCTATGTGCTTTCCATATCTGCAGCAATGAATTCCAGTAATGAATGCTCTTTCCTCAATTCACTACCCTCAACACTCCCTTAACCCCTTCACTGTTCGTGCTGTAGTACGGGTTTGAAGTCTCTGTGCTGTAAAACTATGTGATGAGCTCAGCTCACTCAGATGAGTAGTCAGCGATAAATCTGGGCCTAGATATGAGAGAATGGGTCGATATGGTAATTGTGCACTGTATAAAAAAACATCCTACCAAACGCAGTGCATAATGGGAAAAAACCCGACTGTGTTTTTGGTTTAAAAAGCAACTTTACGGTGTATTTTTGGAAGGTTTTTATGGTTTTTGCTCAGTTTCTCAGTACCATTTGATAGAATGGAAGATATATTACAGAAATAGAGATGATTTTGATTGGTTTCCAGATGGGAAGTAGCTTGAAATTGAACTCAAATTAGTGAAAGTATTTGATTTTTACCGATATTCCAGAGTAAACAAATCACCTCACTTGTCCAATACACATCCAGCTGGTTGGTCTAATGTGCATTCATGAATATGCTGACATTATTTATACAATTACTGTATTACAATAATGCATAACAGTAAATCTTTTTTTGTGTGAATAAAAATTCTTTGTATGAATTATAATAAAAAAGCAGCACTAAACCAACAAGGGTCATACAGTGCAGCAGGGCAGGGTATAGTGCAGGATTATACAGGAGCAATCTTTGTGTGAATAAAAATTCAAAATGGAATTCATGTGTAAAGCCTGGGAATGTAACTAATGAGCAGAGGAAATGTTATTTTAGTGCCAGGAATACCAGCATTGTTTATTCTGACCCTGCTTTGAAATTGACATATTTTGAAACTTGTGTGAAATTGGCCAAATTACCAATTTCTGATCACTTGATTGGGTAATTGAAATAGTTGATTGGGAAGTTTCTTGTCTACCATTTAGGTAGACATATTTGTGAAATAGCTAAGAATTTGGTTGACCGGAACAATGTAATTGGCCTAAAATAGAACTCAATGTGGGCAAAATCGCCACTGCATAAATATCACTGGCACAGCAAAATTTGCAAAAGCATAATGTCATGAATTTTCCATCAAATTTTGTACTTTTTGTTTTATCACCTTCACAAAAAGATTCTCTACCATTTCATAAAAAAAAATTAAAATTCATGGATACTGTGGACACTTCAGATCCCAAGTCTGGACATTTAATTTTTTTTTTTTTTTTTTTTATCACACTGGCCGATTCCCACCAAGGCAGGGTGGCCCGAAAAAGAAAAACTTTCACCATCATTCACTCCATCACTGTCTTGCCAGAAGGGTGCTTTACACTACAGTTTTTAAACTGCAATATTAACACCCCTCCTTCAGAGTGCAGGCACTGTACTTCCCATCTCCAGGACTCAAGTCCGGCCTGCCAGTTTCCCTGAACCCTTTCATAAATGTTACTTTGCTCACACTCCAACAGCACGTCAAGCATTAAAAACCATTTGTCTCCATTCACTCCTATCAAACACGCTCACGCATGCCTGCTGGAAGTCCAAGCCCCTCGCACACAAAACCTCCTTTACCCCCTCTCTCCAACCTTTCCTAGGCCGACCCCTACCCCGCCTTCCTTCCACTACAGACTGATACACTCTTGAAGTCATTCTGTTTCGCTCCATTCTCTCTACATGTCCGAACCACCTCAACAACCCTTCCTCAGCCCTCTGGACAACAGTTTTGGTAATCCCGCACCTCCTCCTAACTTCCAAACTACGAATTCTCTGCATTATATTCACACCACACATTGCTCTCAGACATGACATCTCCACTGCCTCCAGCCTTCTCCTCGCTGCAACATTCATCACCCATGCTTCACACCCATATAAGAGCGTTGGTAAAACTATACTCTCATACATTCCCCTCTTTGCCTCCAAGGACAAAGTTCTTTGTCTCCACAGACTCCTAAGTGCACCACTCACTCTTTTCCCCTCATCAATTCTATGATTCACCTCATCTTTCATAGACCCATCCACTGACACGTCCACTCCCAAATATCTGAATACATTCACCTCCTCCATACTCTCTCCCTCCAATCTGATATCCAATCTTTCATCACCTAATCTTTTTGTTATCCTCATAACCTTACTCTTTCCTGTATTCACCTTTAATTTTCTTCTTTTGCACACCCTACCAAATTCATCCACCAATCTCTGCAACTTCTCTTCAGAATCTCCCAAGAGCACAGTGTCATCAGCAAAGAGCAGCTGTGACAACTCCCACTTTGTGTGTGATTTTTTCTTTTAACTCCACGCCTCTTGCCAAGACCCTCGCATTACTCTCCTTACAACCCCATCTATAAATATTTAAACAACCACGGTGACATCACACATCCTTGTCTAAGGCCTACTTTTACTGCGAAATAATTTCCCTCTTTCCTACATACTCTAATTTTGACCTCACTATCCTCGTAAAAAACTCTTCACTGCTTTCATAACCTACCTCCTACACCAACACTTGCAACATCTGCCACATGCCCCCCTATCCACCCTGTCATACGACCCTTTTCCAAATCCATAAATGCCACAAAACCTCTTTAGACCTTTACTAAATACGTTCACTTATATGTTTCACTGTAAACACCTGGTCCACACACCCCCTACCTTTCCTAAAGCCTCCTTGTTCATCTGCTATCCTATTCTCCATCTTACTCTTAATTCTTTCAATAATAACTCTACCATACACTTTACCAGGTATACTCAGCAGACTTATCCCCCTATAATTTTTGCACTCTCTTTTATCCCCTTTGCCTTTATACAAAGGAACTATGCATGCTCTCTGCCAATCCCTAGGTACCTTACCCTCTTCCATACATTTATTAAATAATTGCACCAACCACTCCAAAACTATATCCCCACCTGCTTTTAACATTTCTATCTTTATCCCATCAATCCCGGCTGCCTTACCCCCTTTCATTTTACCTACTGCCTCACGAACTTCCCCCACACTCACAACTGGCTCTTCCTCACTCCTACAAGATGTTATTCCTCCTTGTCCTATACACGAAATCACAGCTTCCCTATCTTCATCAACATTTAACAATTCCTCAAAATATTCCCTCCATCTTCCCAATACCTCTAACTCTCCATTTAATAACTCTCCTCTCCTATTTTTAACTGACAAATCCATTTGTTCTCTAGGCTTTCTTAACTTGTTAATCTCACTCCAAAACTTTTTCTTATTTTCAACAAAATTTGTTGATAACATCTCACCCACTCTCTCATTTGCTCTCTTTTTACATTGCTCCACCACTCTCTTAACCTCTCTCTTTTTCTCCATATACTCTTCCCTCCTTGCATCACTTCTACTTTGTAAAAACTTCTCATATGCTAACTTTTTCTCCCTTACTACTCTCTTTACATCATCATTTAAATACAGTGTGCAAATGCTTTGCACACTGCATTTGATTAATTACACGGGCACAATTCTCATTTATCAAGGAAGAGAATACCCAGAGATGTAGAATTCTAGAATTAGTTCTCATCAACAGTTTCAGTAATTTCAACTAAAACAACAACATCTACAACATAGCTGAGCCTCTTGCCAAGAAACTTGTAAATCATTATCTCTCCTAGTAACAACAAAGAGAACTTCAATGACCTCATGCTGCTCCAGTGACATGCCAACCTCTCAACACTGCAGTGACCTGCACACCAGTGACCTCAACACTGCAGTGACCTCACCTTACTGTGCTTTCCTATAAATACTCAGCCTTATTTTGATTTATCTATTTGTGACTTGATAAAGCCCATTGTGGGTGAAAGCTTGTCCATAAAGGATCACATTATTCTGCATTTGTCTTTTATACCAGATATTCATTTTTCTTATGTTTATGAATGTTTTATAAAGAAAATTTTTGTGTTTTTCCTCAGAAACTTACAAGTTGAGGATGATGGGGAGCTTCCAGATCCATACGTGAAACTTTATCTTCTTCCTGATCGTTCTAAGGATAGTAAACGTAAAACAGACGTCATCAAAGATAGTTGCAACCCCAAGTATGATGAGCGCTTTGAGTACTCCATACCACCCAATGAACTGACACGGCGTACACTAGAAGTAAATATAATCAACAAAAAAGGACTTTTATTCTTGCAACGATCACCTAAAATGGGACAGGTTAGTTAATCTTTCAAGTTCAGTGTATGTGAGGCCTTTCAGATTTTTCTAAAACCATCTTTAGGGGTAGGGATGTCTCAGTTTGGAAGGCATTATTGTTTGGTCCAGTATCTATTTCAGAGCACTACTTTTACATGTGTCAGGGTCCTCTTTAGTGGAAAAGTCTGCAAATTTAGCAGTAACATGGAATTGCTCATGTAACTGTTGAAATGTTAACTGTTTCTCATAGGTTTTTCTTCCTCATTATCTTCAACTCTCTGAGTAGTCTCTTCTGTCTGGGTATTAACCCTTTCAGGGTTGGCGCCGTACTAGTATGGCTTGCACACCAGGGTTGGTGCCGTACCAGTATGCATAAATTCTAGCGCCTCCAAATCTAGCGAGAGACAGCTGGTAGGCCTACATATGAAAAAATGGGTCTATGTGGGCAGTGTGTGCAGTATAAAAAAAAAATCCTGCAGCATACAGTGCATAATGAGAAAAAAAAACTAAGACCGTGTTTTTGGTTTAAAACAGCGACTTTGAGGGACTAGTACCGAACTTGCACACGAAAATCACTCGCAACAAAAGCAAGACTCGGCAGACGATGCAACATCCCCCAATGTAAAGCAGGGGTGTCACTAGCACGTTAAGAGACAATACAATAAGTGTCAGGGGCCCGAGACTGCTCAACTGCCTCCCAGTATACATAAGGGGGGATTATCAATAGAACCCTGGCTGTCTTCAAGCAGGCACTGGACAAGCACCTAAAGTTAGTACCTGACCAGCCGGGATGTGGCTCGTACGTTGGACTGCGTGCAGCCAGCAGTAACAGCCTGGTTGATCAGGCTCTGATCCACCAGGAGGCCTGGTCACAGACCAGGCCGTGGGGGCGTTGACCCCCAGAACTCTCTCCAGGTAAGCTCCAGGTAAGGCAACTGGTAGTGGTGTGTGTGGGACAAGAGGTGAGTGTAAACAAAGCTAAATCTACCATGAAACAAAAAGAGGCCTGAGGCATGTGAGAGAGGAATTGGCCTGCTTGTGCCACCAAGATGTCTGGACACACCGGAGCACAAGGCAAAAACAGAAGGTAGGGAACCTTCAGAGTGAAAGGAGGAAATAGACACAGAAAATGAATCGCAGACAGAAATGCAGTAGGGGAGGTATTGATCCGAAAATATTTATCAACCATCTTCTAACAAAAGGAAGCTGTTGCATGCATTGTAGTGTGTACATGCGTGCATTTGTGAGTGTGTGAGAGTGAGTGAGTAATCTGAAAAATATTAATAGTGGTGGGTGATGTAGGTAACATGATTTGATATATTATTTTTAAAAGTGATGGATACAAAAAGTCTATAATGATCCATGCAAAATAATTTGTTTTAGCAAAGATAGGTGATCTTAATTCATAAAGTACACAAAATCATACTTAAGAGAACAGAACATGCAAAAATTGAGTTAGATGTACACAAAAGCTACAATGCAAATTGACAGAGAAAGGGTATTTAAATGTGAGCCATCAGTGATGTCTTAACACAAGCACTCCATAACAGTTTATTCTAATGTTCTAGCAATTAAATGTGCCGTTATGTGTAGCTATAGCTTAGGGTGTGGAAAACACCACATAAGCCTGTTTAAGCTACAATAAAAATTGCTTCAGCTTAAATATGAGGGGAAAAGTTAGGGGTTGAGTTTTATATATGACTCAACTGTAGTTGACAAAATATAAAAATCACAGGTATAAATATATTCATACATATCCTAAATATCCATGAATTCTTAATAATAAAATCTAACCAGTTTTCTAAATAAATAAAATCACTCCCTATTTAAGACAAAAGAAACTGACATGAATGAGGTTCATCCACTGTAAAATCTTAAATCCTTGACAGCCCATGAGAGAGTGGGTTATGAAAGGATGCTAGGTTGTATCAGCAGTCCACATCAATGCTTCTTCTCAATCCATATTACAATAGAGACAATAAATTGTAATGCCAGTGCTTAACAATAACAGTTTTACCCTGTTATTTCAAACACGCTATATATGAAATCCGTTAATAATTGAGGTCTAATAACAAACCCATATAGGGTATAAATTCCTAAATGAGATGGGCTCCTCCTTACTGGCAATAACTGATAATGACAAACTGCATATCTTAAGGAAATGAATACATATATAAAGCTTATGCTGAGCTAAGTCATTTTAAGATAAGTTGAGCCAACTGCTCATCTTACAAGTCACATTGTCACAGGAGAATGAGTCTGGTGTTTGGGAAGCTATTTGCAAATCCTGCAGGTCTTCCATGCCAGTAGATGGCATACTTCCACACCTGTGTGGTAAAATGAATGTAATTGATAAAACCTCTTGTAGGTGAAATTTTGTAATACATAATAAAGGATTCTTTTGCAGTATGTTTTTTTTTTTTTTTTTTTTTTTTTTTTTTTTTTTTTTTTTTTTTTTTTTTAGCCAACTGTTAGCTCACAGCCATACTCTCACTACAAGTCAGGTGATGCTGTGATGTCTACAAAGGGGTATGGGGATAAATAGGCTTTCTTCTCTTAACATTATTGCCATTCTTACTATTTTCTTTACAAATTCTACTGGCAGATATAATTATACAGTACAGTGGGGCACTATAAGCTCAGAATTAGTTTATGTAAAAAAAATTAAGAAAAATTTTCTTTTACTTAGGAAATGAACTTTATTTATACTGTACTTATGTATGATCAGGTACTCCTGGACTGTGGGCTTTTGGACTCAGACAAGGTGACACAGTGGTATGACATTGCTCCAGCCATGGATGAGGATGATGAGTGAGGACGGCGAAGTGTGCTGAGTCGAGTAGGAAGTTGGAGAGGCAGTCTGCGTAGAATAACCAAGCTGGCTGATCTAGCCAAGGGTAAGAAAAAAAAGAAGAAAGTGTGATAATTCATGTGCAGTAACTACAAAACAATTTTTAGCAAATATTTTTTTAAATTAGTTGACAAGTGGAATATCTCTTATTCGTGCAATCACTTCTTGCAGTTGCTTCATAATTTTACACTAATGAATGATACAATGCTGTTTTATGTTTTTTATTTTATTTTATTGAAATAAGTTGTAAAACCAATTGCACATGGACAGCAAAAAAATATTGCTAGTGTTTTTAAAATGACCAAAAATACATAATAATTTTGTTTTGTGATACAGCATCTCTCTGACACATATTTGTGTTACCTTTGCGTACTTAAATTTATAAAATTGATATTATGAAATATTTAAGGGAAAATGAGGTCTTGATATCCTGTATCTCTTCTGGGAGAAGGCAAAAACCGTTGCAGCAGTGGAAAATTGTTTGCAATTCCTGGAATGAGTTAACACACCCGGCCAGCACACTTCGTTAGCTACAGTACTCTCAGCAGATGCTCATGAGGAGGATATGCAAACAGTAAATCTGCTTTTATGTATACAAGTGTATTAAATATTGGATCAGCCATTTAAAATTGGATATGGCAGTTGAAACTTCTTTATAAATATTACTGTAGTGTAATATCAAATTTTATGATTATAGTATTTAAGTGTAACAAGTACCAAGTATGATAATTTTTATTATCATAAATTATAATGTATGTTTAGATGTTGGAAAAAATTATTTTGTATTATTTAAAGTTTATATGGCGTGGCCTTAAGTAGTGTTTGTCAATCCAGGGTTGTTTTTGTCTTAGTCTTCAACACAAAATGCAGTGCACAGATAGATCTGCTTTAGTAAAATGTAGTTTATGTTGACAGAGGTATTCCTAGTGAATATTGCTTATTTTTTGCTACATATATATTTTGATGTAAAGGTACTCCTGCTTCATCCCCTCTGGAGCAGCATTTGGCACATAGAGATTTGACATTAATTAATATCCCATTTAGAGTTGTGCATAGAACATTGTCAGTTGTGCATTTTTTTTTTTATTTTTTACCGGTGTGTGTGTGTGTGTGTGTGTGTGTTCATGTGCAAGTAATCTTGTTACATTGTACAAGTGTGCCAACTTGGTCCTTTGCTGGACATAATTTCAGATTTTCAATATTTTTATATGTTTATTATTTCTTGTATGCTTTTTGTAATAGAGTTAATTAGCTTGAATTTGATTAATTCAATATTTTTCTTAGTAATTTCTTTTGTTTGGCATTTTTCTAGATATAAATGCAGTATAATACATTATCTAAATTTCATGGAGTAATTCCTGTAATAATTAAGGGTTTCAAGACAATGAGGTGGTAACTAATCAAAAAGCTAAGTTTGCTAGTTTTTTATGTATATTGTAATTGCAATACATTGTTTCAGAGTATAAATATGATCTGTAATCTGTAAGTTATATGGAGGCCTGGAAAAATGCAACAGAACACAGACAGTGGAAGGAAACCTTAATGGTTCATTTTTTTTTTCTCCTGTATTAAATTATCTTCCCTGCAAAGAGACGTTGATTTTTAAATAAATAAATATGTCCTAGCTGTACACATCTATGTCTGTTCTGTTGAATATTATAATTGACTATAATATAAATGAAATGTATCATATATTAAAAGTTTACTAAAGTTTTTATGCAACTTGAAAAGAATAATTATAAGTATTAATTTTAAATTATATTTTGATTTAATAATACCCTGCCTCGGTGGGAGACGGCCGACTTGTTGAAAAAAAAAAAAAAATACTATATAAGAAAAATATTAGTGAAATTACTTTTGCTGTAAAGAAAACCAATAAAGTTTTTCATAGTACTTGTACATGGAATTTTAAAAATAATTTTTATACGTCATAACTATGCCACCCTGCCTTGGTGGGATACGGCCAGTTTGTTAAAAGAACAACAACTATGCTTGTTTTTAGCATGTCTGATCTCTGCTCTCTGACACTGATAAGAATATGTTCTTGTTTACCATGTCTATATCAGGTGTCCCCAACCTTTTTATAATTATGGCCTCTGGTAAAATTTTAGGAAAATGTATTTGGCACTTAAGCAACTACAATTTTTCTCTATAAAATTCTAAATGAAAATGCTGAAGATTTTTATTTTTATTTTTTTAAGAGGCAAATTATATTATACTAGTGGATAATCATAAAAACTGCAGTTTAAAAATTAGCATTACATTTTTGTGCTCTGGAAGCATGAGCCATTTTAAAAGATTATAATGGTGCATGTTTACATCTCACTTCAGGCCCAGCACTTATTAAAAATAATTGCCAAGATGTTCTTACCTTAAAAATTAATCAAATGGTGCCAAAGTTTCTTTGATTAGTTTGGGAGCCCTCAGAAAATATCTTCAGTAGGTATTTCAGCATTCGAATTACACCATAACATTTACCTCTCCCATTCACTTGGTATATTTACTGGCCAAATACAAGAAAGAAGAGTAATTGTCACTTCTAGGTGGTGCTTAAGTTTACTATATACACGGTTGTGTTTATAAGCTGTATGCTGCCACTGCTTTTAATAATTCAAAACTTTCTTGCACTGTCCACTTCTGTTTTGTCATTTTTATTTCTTTAAATTAAATTTTAATTGTTTTAATAAGTATTGTTTATCATCTCATATATAATATTGATAATTAAAAATTAATTCAGAGGAAATATTAATAGAGCTTTTTGAGGCAACAGATGAGAGACTAGGAAGGCCTCCCTGGGTGCCTTGGGGACTCCTGGTCTAGGTACTGTCAACAAATATAGTACTGCATTGTAGTTTTAAAATGTGGTGAAAGTTAAGAATGCTTCATAAGTTCAAAACCTTTTGGGCAAATTGGTGCTGCATTTTAGTTTTGTAAGCTTTGGTCTAGTTTACTGAAAGTGAAAACCATCCATAAATATAACCATGCTCTTTGCCTTAAATGTCTATATACATATATACACAATGTCGACTTCACCTTTCTTGTGCAGTAATTTGGGACAGTATAAAAGGTCAATATGTGGCCTTTCATATTCTTACAATCATGACTAAAAGGCTTGTTATCAAGATACTGAAGCTATTGTTTCTGCCAAATAGTTCAGCAACATGACACTCACCAGTAGTACTCACAAATATACACATTCTTGCCTTACTTGATGTACTTTACATGACAGCTTGTGGGTCCTGGGAAAGGAAAGGAATGATGTAATAAGGATCAGTATGGTAGACTATGAAACATTCACAACATACTTCTTAGTGATTCATGAAACTCTAATGACAAACCAGTCAAACACTGACAAACCAGTCCTAAAAAGAATTTTAGGACTGGCTTGTCATGTGTTCATACCCCACTTCATTCAGTGAGATATTAGTTTGTTTTTTGATTGAAAATAGTGCAGTATTTTAAAAGCTATCATTCACATCTCAAAACTTGGTATTTACATTCTGCTATCTGATAAATCCTGTATTTTAAGTCATGAAAGCAGATGTTATATTACAATGGTATTTTATGATCTAGCCATTCCACAGTGTCCTATCTGCCATCAATCAAATTAGGCAGCTGCTACACCTAACATTGCACCTGCTAAATTGAGGTCAGTGGTTACTGTTTCTCAAGCATACAGTATATCAGTTATGGTTGATCTACATTAATGACATAATACACTTTAGGTGATTTTTTAAGTTAAAACTCAAAGCTTGCTAGCAGTGTGTGTATTATACCTACAGAATATGAATACAAGGTACTTATAACAAAAACAGTTGCCTATAAATTAACCTTGTGGTAATTTAACCTTGTGGTAATTTATAAATGTTTTCTGCTAAAAAGGAACTTTTTTAATAAGCTAGAGGTACTATATTATGCATTTTGATTCCATTTATTTCAGTATGAGGGTTCTATTAGATTAACCTTTAATATGAGCTCTCAGTTATTACAACTGAGAATACTTTAAAATTTAGGCAACAAGAACCTCTGATATATGTTTCATAGTATTTCTCTTATTACAAAGATCCAAAGATCAAATATATAGTGCAAAACTCTTTAATAATATTTTGCATCAAAACTGTTGCTGTTTAGGCATTTTCTGTGTTATGGTGCTCTAATGAAATACATTTAGCCCTTTCAAAAAATATATGGAAATTGTTGCTTAACTCATGATGTTTTCACTCAAAATATTTACTATGTAGCTTAGCTTATTCTTAATTTTGTACAATCAAATTTAAAAATTATAACTTGAACTGTCCATTTCACAAAGTAATGGTGAAGGGAATTATAAAATATCAATAAAGCTTACCAAAATGACGGACATTTTTATTCACCGAGTGGTTATTCATTGGTGACAAGACAGTTAAAATATTATGCCTGTTACAGGTTATTTAAACTACTATTACAAAAAATAGGAATATATTCTAGGGATGTACAGAATATACAAGTTAAGCATTTTTCTATTCGTAACAAAAGGATGCACATCCTTAGCTGCTCAGCCAGCACAGTCACATGGTCCATCTGAAACAATTAGTACTCCTTCCCTCCTGATCACCTTAACCCAGTGTTTCGACACACTGTAGTCACTCTGGGTATAATGGTTACATCATATTCAAGTACAAATCTTACCTCTGGGCACTTAACCTTGCCCAGAAGCAAGAGTGGAGGAAGTCTTTCCATGTTGGCACCACAACCACAAGAGAGAGAGCCAGTTAGCCTCTTCCCATCTACACAACAACAACAAACAAAAGAATGGCAACATGTCCAATTTTTTAGCTACTGCAATCATTTTGTTTTTTCCATTACTACACCTTATTTTACTTTAAGAAAGAAATACAAACTTTATACTCTACTTATTTTGATGGTGTGTATTTATAGTACAACCTATTTATATTGAAAAAAACAGGGCTTGACTCAAATGGCCTTTCTCCATAAATGTGATCTGCCCTTATGACAGAATTAAGGCAGTTGTGCCCCCAGCAGTTTAATATAATTAGGTATTCCAAAGTAACTGCAACCTAGTTACATAAATACATGTTGGGTCCTATAGCCCCATAATAGTGCATAAGTAATAAAAGGTAATGAAAATAATTTTTTAACGCATCGGCTGTTTCCCACTGAGGCAGGGTGACCCAGAAAGAAAGAAAAAACTTTCATCATCATTCAACACTTTCACCATCACTCATACATAATCATTGTCTTTGCAGAGGCACTCAGATACAACAGCTTAAACGATAATAAATATTTTACCATATTTCTTGAATGTATTGCCTTACAGGCTAGCAGTTAGAATTCCTTTTCTAAGTCTTATAATTATTATAATATAAAAATTATTAAAATAACTTATTACAGTAATTAAAATAATACTTATAATTAAAATAATTATAATAATTGTCTGGAATAGAGATGTTCTATCATGACTACTGACCTGATTGCCCAATATAATATCAAATCATTAATCACAACCACACTAAATACTATCTCATACTTAGCTCATATGGGATTTACCTCAGTAGACAAGGGCTGTACTTGTCGAGGTGTAATCAGTATTCTTGTACTTCCAAATGACCCTGGTAGGTCTAGCGCTTCTTTTTGATTATAATAATGTGCTTCCAGAAGGTTTTAGTCCACAGATAAGACCCATAAAATGGCATTAGTTGATATTTATAGTACCTACAAAGTGCACATCTAGTAGTGATAATGAGAATTTACTACATTAGGCCTGCTGGGGTAACTGGTTTTGAGATACAGTGGAACTTTGGTTTTCGTCTTTAATTCGTTCCAGAAAGTATTAACAAAATATACATTTTATAGAGAATAACTACAGTTTTACATACAGAAAACAATGAGAAATAAATATAAAGGACTAATGAAATGGATAAATGAACATTAACCCTTTATCATGCAAGGGGTCCGAAAATTTGAAATTCGAACTGAACTCCCTATGGTGGATAGAGTAACTCAATACAAGGTCACTGATCCCATATAAATTGATTTCTGATGGTTAGTTTTCGAGCAATTGCTAATCTCCGAAGACCGAAAATATTCGGCTGGGCCCGACAAAGGGATTAAAAAATTTTATGTTGCAAACTTGCAATTGTTAATAAAACACACCAAAACAATTTTTTAAATTTAATATACAAACAGACAATATAAAAAACATAAATGGAACTTGAATCAAAACATTTTTAATTGTTACAAAAATATAAAAAGGAAGCAAATCTCAACAATGACAAATTGCAAAGGGATGCAACTTTCAATCCCTATATTCCTGAGATTCATTTGGATGACCAATTATTCTATATTGCTAATTGATGGTATGGTAGTCGCTGAAGCAATTTCTATCACTCTTTATCCAGATTTACTTTGCATACAGAACACTGGAATGAGGATGTGACCAATTTCTTCGAGTGGCTGCAATAGTTGCAATCGTAATACCTTACTTTTTCTTCACTAATTTCTGTTTTTTGGCTGGCCTTTCTTCCTCCTCATCATCACTTGACACCTGTGCATCCGGTGGCAAGTATTCATCACCACTATCCAGCAATTCTGGTTCATGTACCTCTGCTTCTGAATCACTCTCTTCAGAAACGCAGACATACCTCGACCTGCTGGTGGACTGCTCCCCATAAAACAACTTCTCATTGATCTGGAAGGACAATAGAAACCTCCTGTATAGATCCAGACCACTACAGAGTTCATATATGCAATTGAAATTTTTTTATAAATATTTATTTGACTAAAATTGGACATTCCCGGAAACTCGGGCAAGACTGAAATAATTCGGTATAAAATGCTTGCACTTTTTTCAACTGCATGCTACACTCATATTATGCTTCACACGGACTTTAGGTATATATCAAAATATGCCTAAACTATTCATGTAAGCACTAAACACAACAATCAGTACTTACCGACATTGTAGAATGTATAATCCAAGAGTAGATTAGTAAGGGTGGAGGGAAAAATGCGTGTGTGGGCGGAGCCAAGCCACCAGTGTTTATATTTTGATCTCTCAACCAATGGGAAGGCGGCAGAAGCGAACTGTACTTAGCTGAAGAGACTCAGGGAAGGCTTGTGATTGGTTGGAACTAAAGAACGGGAAGCTGGCTGCGCGGGGCGCGAAGTATGACACGCGCCAAAAACATGTAATCAATACCGAATTATTTCGGCCCACCCCGATAAAGGGTTAAATATAACTTTTACTTTTATTGAAGACTCTTGTTGGAGTATGGAAGATGGCGAAGAGGGGAGAGGGACTAGAGGTTATTGTTTAGAAGGGAAATCCCCTTCCATAAGGACTTCAGGCATCAAGGCCCTATCCATGGCTACTTCCCTTCTTTGTCTTTTACTGGCACTAGGACCAGTTTGAGAGTCACTGTACCCCTGCCTAAAATGGGACAAGGCACTGTCATTGAACATGTTGCAGACACAGCTTCCAACAGCTTTGGTAGGGTGATATTTCTTCAAAAAACTTTGCAACTCACTTCACTTTGCACACATGTCCCCTCAAGGAAGGTTCCTTGATGTTGGTGAGGGGCTCTTAATTTAGGGAATTGGATCTGTGCTCCAGTTCCCCAAATTAAGCCTGAATGCCTTCCACATCCCCCCCCAGGCGCTGTATAATCCTCCGGGTTTAGCGCTTCCCCCTTGATTATAATAATAATAATAATTTGCACACATGTCCTTAATCACTGAAGAGGGCATATTCTCCCCTCTCTTCCTCCTCTGAAGCAATTTTATTGTGTTTCTCGGAACTTTCTTTGGCCCCATGGTGGCTTATTTAGCAGTTGCACTCGATAAACAAGCACAAAAAACAATTGATTGTTACAAAATGTTTTGTATAAAAGGGCAGGGTAATGATCATTCAAGAAACAAAGCCAGACTGACTCAGAATGCGTGCGTGGGATGCTTTGTGTGAGCGCGGGCAGGCAGACACGTTTGGTATGGCAGACGAAAACTGGGACAAAATTTTGATGAAAAAAGTCATCAAAAATCGAATTTGACGAAAACCCGGCAAACAAAAACCAAGGGTCCACTGTATTACTTCAGGAATTATGAGACATGCCAATAATGAGCCACTAAATACACCAAGCTCTGGAGATGAGGTCTGGACACCTCCACTCCTCAAGATTTGATAGTGATTAACCACTTGATTCTTGGGCCAGCTGCCATAAGCTTTAAACATACTAAGCTACTTGACTTACATTCTTAGTGTAGCTTCACTATGTAGCTATACTCTAGATTGGGTATCAGCTTTTTAAGGCTTTATGACTAAGTTACCCTTACAATAAAGCTTTAGGGGTGGCAGCCTGGCAACACCCCACCAGCCTACTCCCTACAGAAAGTCCACTTTACCCTCTTGCCTTATTTGGCAAGAAGAGCATTGCTATTTAAGCCAAAATTGCAAGTTTTACCTATTCGGCACAACATAGGGGGTGGGAGAGTTTCAGTGGAGAGGAATAAATGGGATTAGGCCAGGGGTTTCGAATAGAGTTAGAGCTAAAGAAGGAGTAGCAATAATGTTGAAGGATAAGCTATGGCAGGAAAAGAGGGACTATAAATGTGTTAATTCAAGGACTGTGGAGTAAAATAAAGGTTGGATGTGAAAAGTGGGTTATAGTAAGCGTATATGCACCTGGAGAAGAGAGAAATGTAGAGGAGAGAGAGAGATTTTGGGAAATGTTGAGTGAATGTGTGGGGAGTTTTGAACCAAGTGTGAGAGTACTTGTGGTTGGGGATTTCAATGCTAAAGTGGGTAAAAATGTGGAGGGAGTAGTAGGTAAATTTGGGGTGCCAGGGGTAAATGAAACTGGGGAGCCTTTAATTGAGCTATATGTAGAAAGAGGTTTGGTAATAAGTAATACATATTTTATGAAAAGAGGATAAATAAATATACAAGGTATGATATAGCATGTAATGAAAGTAGTTTGTTAGATTATGTATTGGTGGATAAAAGGTTGATGTGTAGGCTCCAGGATGTACACATTTATAGAGAGGCAACTGATATATCGGATCATTATTTAGTTGTAGCTACAGTTAGAGTAAGAGGCAGATGGGACAGGAGGAAAATGGCAACAATAAGTAAGAGGGAGGTGAAAGTGTATAAACTAAGAGAGGAGGAAGTTTGGGTGAGATATAAGCAACTATTGGCAGAAAGGTGGGCTGGTGCAAGTATGAGTAGTGGGGGGGTTGAAGAGGGTTGGACTAGTTTTAAAAATGCAGTATTAGAATGTGGGGCAGAAGTTTGTGGTTATAGGAGGGTGGGTGCAGGAGGAAAAAGGAGTGATTGGTGGAATGATGAAGTAAAGGGTGTGACAAAAGAGAAAAAGGTAGCTTATGAGAGTTTACAACAGAGTGTTAAAGAAGAGTAGAGTATATGCAGAGTAAAAGAAAGGTGAAGAGAGTGGTGAGAGAGTGCAAATTGAGAGCAGATGATAGAGTGAAAGAGGCACTGTCAAGAAATTTTGCAGAAAATAAGAAAAAAATTTGAGATAAACAAGTTAAAAAAGCCTAGGGAACGAATGGATTTGTCAGTTAAAAAAAGAGTAGGGGAGTTAGTACATGGGGAGCTGGAGGTATTGGGTAGATTACCTGGAGAGAGTTCCGGGGGTCAACGCCCCCAGGCCCGGTCTGTGACCAGGCCTCCTTAGGTCAGTGTCCCAGGATGCGACCCACACCAGTCGACTAACACCCAGGTACCCATTTTACTGATGGGGAACATAGACAACAGGTGGAAAGAAACACGTCCAATGTTTCTACTCTGGCTGGGAATCGAACCCAGGCCCTCACCGTGTGAAGCGAGAGTGTTAACCACCAGGCCACCAGAGCCACCAGAGAGATGGCAGGAATATTTTGAGGAACTTTTAAATGTCGATGAAGAAAGGGAGGCGGTAATTTTATGCACTGGCCAGGGAGGTATAACATCTTTTAGGAGTGAAGAAGAGCATTATGTGAGGCATTATGTAGAATGAAAGGGAGTAAAGCAGCTGGAACTGACAGGATCATGACAGAAATGTTAAAAGCAGGGGGGGATATAGTGTTGAAGTGGTTGGTTTTTTGTTTAATAAATGTATGAAAGAGGGGAAGGTACCTAGGGATTGGCAGAGAACATGTATAGTTCCTTTATATAAAGGGAAAGGTGACAAAAGAGATTGTAAAAATTATAGGGGAATAAGTTTACTGAGTATACCAGGAAAAGTGTATGCTAGGGTTATTATTGAAAGAATCAGAGGTAAGACAGAGAGTAGGTTTGTAGATGAGCAAGGAGGTTTTAAGTGGGTAGGGGATGCGCAAATAAAGTATTTACACTGAAGCATGTATGTGAACAGCATTTAGATAAAGATAGGGAAATTTTCACTGCATTTGTGGATTTAGAAAAGGCATATGATAGAGTGGATAGGGCCAGGGGAGCAATGTAGGCAGATGTTGCAGGTACATGGAATAGGTAGTAAGTTACTAAATGCTGTAAAGAGTTTTTATGAGGATAGTGAGGCTCAGGTTAGGGTGTGTAGGAGAGAGGGAGATTACTTCCCAGTAAAAGTAGGTCTTAGACAGGGATGTGTAATGTCACCATTGTTGTTTAATATATTTATAGATGGGGTTGTAAAAGAAATAAATCCTAGGGTGTTGGAGAGAGGGGTGGGATTAAATTATGGGGAACCAAATACAAAATGGGAGTTGACACAGTTACTTTTTGCTGATGATACTGTGCTTATGGGAGATTCTAAAGAAAAGTTGCAAAGGTTAGTGGACGAGTTTGGGAGGGTGTGTAAAGGTAGAAAGTTGAAAGTGAACATAGATAAGAGTAAGGTGATGAGGGTATCAAATGATTTAGATAAAGAAAAATTGGATATCACATTGGGGAGAAGGAGTATGGAAGAAGTGAATGTTTGTACATGTATGTGTATGTGTGACCTAAGTGTAAGTAGAAGTAGCAAGACATACCTAAAATCTTGCATGTTTATGAGACAGAAAAAAGATACCAGCAATCCTACCATCACGTAAAACAAATTCAAGCTTCCTTTTTACATTCACTTGGTAGGATGGTAGTACCTCCCTGGGTGGTTGCTGTCCACCAACCTACTACCTATATATATATATATATATATATATATATATATATATATATATATAATATATATATATATATATATATATATATATATATATATATATATAGGTAGTAGGTTGGAAAAACTTTCATCATTTGACACTTTCACCATCAGTCATACATAATGACTGTTTTTGCAGAGGTGCTCAGATACAACAGTTTAGACATCCCTCCAAACTGCCAATATCCTAAACCCCTCCTGCAAAGTGCAGGCGTTGTACCTCCTATTTCCAGGACTCAAGTCCGGCTAGCCGGTATCCCTGAATCCCTTCACAAAATATTACCCTGTTCACACTCGAACAGCTCATCAGGTCCCAAAAATCATTCATCCCCATTCACTCTTATCTATCACTCTCAACCACACTTGCTGGAAGTCCAAGCCCCTTGCCCACAAAACTTCCTTTACCCCTCCCTCCAACCTTTTCGGGGATGACCCCTACCCTACCTTCCTTCCCCGATAGATTTGTATGCTCCCAAAGTTATTCTACTTTGTTCTATTCTTTCTAAATTAAATGACCAAACCATCTCAATAGCCCCTCTTCTGCCCTCCTAATTTCCACACTACGAATTCTGTGCATAATATTTACACCACGTATTGCCCTTAGACATGACATCTCCACTGCCTCCAGTCGCCTCCTCGCTGCAGCATTTATAACGTATGCTTCACACCCATATAAGATTGTTGGTACCACTATACTTTCGTACATTCCTTCTTTGCCTCCATGGACTAAGCAATAGTACACATACACACCAACAGGTGTACTTCAAAAACATATGTGCAGAATTTACTTCGGCCCTCATTTTAGGGATAAGTAGTCTTGAATGTTGATGTACAGTGGACCCCCACATACCGTTGGCATCACATAACGTTAAATCCGCATACCGATACATTTTATCGCTAAGATTTTGCCTCGCATACCGCTAAAAAACCCACTCAACGCTATTCGTCCGAGACGCGTCTAATGTGCGGCCTGAGCCAGCCTCACATGTTTCGACGGAGGCATTGTTTACCAGCCAGCCTCTGCGGTAACATCCAAGCATACAATCGGAACATTTCGTATTATTACAGTGTTTTTGGTGATTTTATCTGCAAAATAAGTGACCATGGGCCCCAAGAAAGCTTCTAATGCCAACCCTGTGGTAAAATGGATGAGAAATATTATCGAAATACTGTGGTACCATGGTCAACTGCTGATGCTGCTGCTGCTGTAGCACTGTCAGCTGCTGCTCGCTGTTAGCACATCAGCTGCTGCTGCTGCTGTACCACCGTCAGCTGCTGCTGCTCCTGTAGTACCGTCTGCTGCTGCTGTAGCACCGTCTGCTGCTGCTGTAGCACTGTCAGCTGCTGCTGCTGTAGCACTGTCATTTGCTGCTGCTGCTGTAGCACCGTCAGCTGCTGCTGCTGCTGTACCACCGTCAGCTGCTGCTGCTGCTGTAGTACCGTCTGCTGCTGCTGTAGCACCGTCTGCTGCTGCTGCAGCACCATCTGCTGCTGCTGTAGCACTGTCAGCTGCTGCTGTAGCACTGTGCTGCTGTAGCACTGTCAGCTGCTGCTGTAGCACTGTCAGCTGCTGCTGTAGCACTGTCAGCTGCTGCTGCTGCTGCTGTAGCACCGTTGTTGGTGTGGTTTATTGAGAATACCAAGAAACAATTAACCCCAGAGGGTTAGCCACCCAGGATAACCCAAAAAAGTCAGTGTCATCGAAGACTGTCTAACTTATTTCCATTGGGGTCCTTAATCTTGTCTCCCAGGATGCAACCCACACCAGTCGACTAACACCCAGGTGAACAGGGAAAAATGCCTGGAATTAGTGCTCATATTGGTGAATTTAAAGCCAGCAAAGGTTGGTTTGAGAGATTTAAGAATCGTAGTGGCATACACAGTGTGATAAGGCCTGTTCTGGAAGAAAATGCCAAACAGGACCTACAGTACTCAGGAGGAAAAGGCACTCCCAGGACACAGTGTCTCATCAGTCATTGCTGCATCTTCAATAAAGGTAAGTGTCATTTATTCTTCATTTAGTAGAGTAGTACATGCACAATATATATTGTGCATGTACTACTCTACTATTGTGCATGTATCCTTTTTTTTGTGTGTAGGAAAATGTATATTTCATGTGGTAAAAAAAATTTTTCATACTTTTGGGTGTCTTGCATGGATTAATTTGATTTCCATTATTTCTTATGGGGAAAATTCATTCGCATAACGATAATTTCGCATAACAATGAGCTCTCAGGAACGGATTAATATCGTTATGCTGGGGTCCACTGTATAGATAAAATGCAATTTACTATCTTTTGTACAATCTACAGATCACAGCAAACCAACCATCCATGACAACATAGGTGTTATCAGTTTAAAGTCTCTTAATCATTAATCCATCATTTTAAAGCTCCAATTATTCCCAGGAGATAAAACACTAAACAATCACTTTGCTCTTACTTTAGCGACACTAATCAAAATGGCAAAAAAAAGTCAGTACGTACATGACCAGCCTGGCTGGTCAGGTACTTACTTTGGGTGCCTGTCCAGTGCCATCTTGAAGACAGTCAGGGGTCTATTTGTAATCCCCCTTATGTATGCTGAGAGGCAGTTGAACAATCTTGGGCCCCTGATGCTTACTGTGTTGTCTTTTAGTGTACTTGTGGCACCCTTGCTTTTCAAGGGAAGATGTATCTCCAGCGCAGTCTTTCGCTTTCGTAGGGAGTGATTTTCGTGTGAAAATTTGGGACTAGTCCCTCAAAGATTTTCCAGGTCTATGTTATCGTGTATCTCGCCTGTGTTCCAGGGAGTATAAATCAAGGGACTTCAACCATTCCCAGTAATTTAGGTGTTTTATCGTATTTATACTTGCCATGAAAGTTATTTGTACATTCTCCAGGTCTGCAGTTTTGCCTGCCTTGAAACGGGCCATTATTGTACATCAATATTTCACCTTAGAACAAACAAGCGATTTGAAGACTCATCATGGGCTTGGCATTCCTAGTTTTGAAAGTTCTCATTATCCATCCTATCATTTCTAGAGAGAAGGCCAATGGCTGTGCCTGCACTCCAGAAGTGTTTTGAGTTGGTGTAGGATTTCTGCCATTTCTTGCCAGTTTCCTTTTTTCCTGGCACTAAAGAAACCTCCATCCCTGAAGTGGTTACGACTCCTGGTTTGTTTCCCATGGTCTGGGTGATC